CTTTTTAATAGTAGATGAAAATAAACAATGATGATCGAAATATGGCCAAAATCAATAACGCACTATGAATAGATATTACATATGATTTAATAGATATTACACATCCATTAGATTATTATGTAGTGGGATCTAACTTGTACAAAATTGGCAAGTGTGTCCTGTTAGCCGCATCATCCACACCTGCGCGGTTAGGAAAACTCTCCGATTGATGGTATTCTAGACATATGTCTAGGTCCAGGAGTACGTGGTTGAACTTCAGGTGATAACAAATTATTAAGTGGGAAAATGTGGTTGGGAACTTCCCACTCGGATTCATTTGGTAGAGGAAATATAGTTTCGGCATACACTGCTCTCCAATAATTAGCCATGTAATAATGAGTGCATAAGCTGCATTGTGGGAATCATATGTACATAGTCACTGCAACTGCATGTGCACACGAAAAACTCTCCAACTGAAATATTTACACGCGAATGTATTCTAATTCAAGTCCACGATGTATCTGATATTACGTCTATATCTTACGGAGAAGTGAAATTGATCCAGTTGTTCCACACTTAGCTTTCTTGCTAACTTCAGGTTTTTGAAGAGTTTATCTTCTTGAGCTTGTGTTAGCACACTCGTGCAATTCTGTAATTCCTCATGTCCGCCATAAAACCACAACTGCAACTTGTTACCAATGTACTCGGTCATCGTAAGAATTGGTGATTCCCGATCATTCTTGAATAATGCATTGAGCGACTATGCATTGTTCGACGTCATCATATTGTATCGAAGTCCTGAAAAATGTGACTGTGCCCAATGTTCGATCCCCGTTTGTTAGATAATCCCATGCATCGTGTGATTTGTTTTCTATTTCGATCATGAACTTATCAAACTCTTAGAAACTATAAGCCTTTACAGCTCTCTTAAACAATGCAACGAAGCCATTGCCACGATATTTAGCCTTCAGGTTGCTTGTATATGGTACATGTAATAACCATGATGTGCATCGAAAAAACTTCAGTTATACCATTTATTATTGATTGCCCCTGGCCAGTCACAAATGTAAGGTTCTCGTCATCCCAAATTACTTCCCTCAACTTAGCAAAGAACCAACACATTACTAGATCTTTCTCTTCATCAACTATGCTAAATGGAAGAGGGTAAATTGGATGTTGACATCTTGACGTATAGCAATTATCAACTCCTATTCGTATCTAGCTTTCAGGGTTGTACCATCAGCTCTAATTAGGGGTTGCATCGCATTTCGAAATCCTCGGATACAATGTCCAAGAGCTATAAAGAAATATTTGAAGCGATTCTTGTCATCGTCTCAATAAAAAATGTCGAATCAGGATTAGTTCTCCCCATGTTATGGCAATACCTTTTTAGCCCGTTTGATACCCATTTTTTTGCCAAATTCTCATTTTGCTACAGTATTCTCCTGCATTTTTTAGACAAATGACTGACACAACCGTCAGAGTGAAAGAAGAGATGATAGAGCCGTTGTATTACTTGGACAAATTTACCCTCTGATGTATTATCAATATTTACGTATTTGCCCTCCATCAATTGAGATAATGTTTGAAGGAAACAAACAATGACTTCAAGGGCAAAACTGGAATTTACAGAATATGAAAATTTGACTTCAATTGCAACGTCTCTTTGTGTGCAGGAAATTTCAAATAATTCATTGCATTTTCACACATGGGTCTATCCCGTATTTGGTGGAAAATGTTGGAAAGTACTGTATAAAAATGAGAATTTGGCCCAAAAAAAAAAGAAAGATGTCAAACGGAGGCCTTACCAATTTAGCATAATCTTCTCGATTGAACCCATTAAATTCTCTAATGCACATTCTTTAGCCTTCCAAGTTTTCTGGTAGCTCATGACCACCACATACTCCCGACGGATGTCATTGATGATATCTGGGTCTGTAAATTGTCTGTGGATCCTGAAATTTGTGCATTATCCGTTGATTACGCCCAAAGAATAACGTGGTAGTTGTAGCACAATTTTAGGGTGCGTATCCACAGGGAGATGGAAGAATATTTAGAGGATAAAAAAGGCTGAATTGTTCTCTCAAATGTGTAATAAAATTTAATGTTGAAACGTGAAATTAAAATCAATAATTTGAAGCGGTGAAGCGTCGGAATTCCCTCAATTGGATTGGATCAATCATATCAATTATTCATTTTTATAATACAGTTAGAAATTTTCATCCCGACACTCTAATCGGAAGATATATCGTGAAAATCAATTTAATTTATAAATTTAATCCTAGAATTTAGACTTAAAACATATTCGCACATTTTTATTGGAACAAGATTAAAGATCGACCATATACATCAAGCATAAGACAGTAATCAATCCGCAAATAAAGTGAAATTGAGATTAAAATTCAACAATTAGTTTAATCTAACGATAGAAGAAGCACGATTGATTTATGAAATATATAATAATTGTTAAACCAATCTCAACAATAAATAATTGAAATTGAAATTCAATAAATAGTTTGATTGAACAATGGAAAAAGTATGACTGAATCCATGAAAAATCTTGTAAATATTAAACCGATTTCAATATAAATTCAAGAGAATGAAAATCTAAATTTTAGCATTGTTTGACAATGAAAATATCAAATTAAATGAATAAAAGATATGAAATCACCAATTCCAATCGAGTCCCTTCGTAACTTCACCAAGGGTTTTAGTTCTCCATGAGTTTCTTGAGCCAAAGAGGAGAAGAATGGTGTATGGGGACCTTCTCCATATGTATTCTGCTGTTAAGTATTTGTAAGAGTAGGAAATTAGATGAAAATCACGTCCAAATTGGTTTCCAAAAGAGTTCTAATCGAATAAGGAAAGTTCCTTTCGCGCNATCGACCCTTAGCACTCTCGAACCTTCATCGTGAGCCCCGACATAATTTTTGAGTATTTGTACTTTAGTCCCTGAACTTTCACTTTCTTCTATTTTGGTCATTTTTCACTTGTTTCTCCTTAATTCCGCTACATTCATCACTTGTTCTGCAAAACATGAATTGCATAGAATTAAGCTATATTTCAACATATTAATCAATAATTGCTCATGTTTTGATAGTAAGATAAGTATGTAAAATGTACTTATCATCCGTCGACCAATAAACTATGATCGAGCTTATCTGTAATCATTTTAACGAATGTCGTTCATCAAAATTGGTCGGCCGTTCGTTATCCGGACGGTCAGGTCATTTGTTCCAGGCCGTTCGACATTGCCGTTTGACCCCAATATTATTTTTGCCCTTTTTTTTATAAACTTATCTACGTGTGTTGCATCATTTGTCCAAATAAAATTTAACGATTTAAAAAATATACTAATTTAATGAAAACGTAATTACTTACTCATTCGAAGTGTTGGATATAAACGAAATATTTTTGTTGAGCGTTTGATAAGTTTATGAGATTTTAAGGTTGAAGTAGATGAAAAATGAAAAAAAAATATCTGTATCAGAGTAAATAAATAAAGAAAGTGATTTGATTTTGAAATTTTAAGTGAGATATTTGATTTTTATTTTATAACTTAAAGAGTATTATTCTCTTTTTAAACAAACTCCCATTTTTGTTATTGTATAAAAAATTTAATGGTAGTCTTACTTTTTAATCAACAGAAAGTCACTATGGTAAATGATGACTGTGGTAAAAAAAAGTGGATTATGCTACATGTACATAATTTTTTACCTAATTTTTTACATCACACTCACATTTGGAAGTGGAGACCACGAGCAGCATTTTTTTAAAAATATGGGGCCGTCGCATTTGTGAGGGACCATTCGGTCACCCTCTTGGTACATCCGGATAAACCCCAAAAAAGTAGCTGTTGCCATGACTTAAATACCCCAATTCCGCCTCTAAAGACAACCTCATAAGCGCACCACTTCATCGTGAGTTCCGACATAATTTTTGAGTATTTGCACTTTAGTCCTTGAACTTTCACTTTCTTCTATTCTGGTTATTTTTCACTTATTTCTAATTATTTCCGCCACATTCATCACTTGTCCTGCAAAACATAAATTGCATAGAATTAAGCTATATTTCAACATATTAATCAACAATTGCTCATGTTTTGACAGTAAGATAAGTATGTAAAATGTACTTATCATCCGTCGATCAATAAACCATGATCGAGCTTATCTGTAATCATTTTAACGAATATCGTTCATCAAAATTGGTCGGCCGTTCGTTATCCGGACGGTCAGGTCGTTTGTTACAGGCCGTTCGATATTGCCGTTTGGCCCCAATATTATTTTTTCCCTTTTTTTTATAAACTTATCTACGTGTGTTGCATCATTTGTCCAAATAAAATTTAACGATTTAAAAAATATACGAATTTAATGAAAACGTAATTACTTACTCATTCGAAGTGTTGGATATAAACGAAATATTTTTGTTGAGCGTTTTATAAGTTTATGAGATTTTAAGGTTGAAGTAGATGAAAAATGAAAAAAAAATATCTGTATCAGAGTAAATAAATAAAGAAAGTGATTTGGTTTTGAAATTTTAAGTGAGATATTTGATTTTTATTTTATAACTTAAAGAGTATTATTCTCTTTTTAAACAAACTCACATTTTTGTTATTGTATAAAAAATTTAGGGTAGTCTTACTTTTTAATCAACAGAAAGTCACTATGGTAAATGATGACTGAGGTAAAAAAAAGTGGGTTATGCTACATGTACATAATTTTTTACCTAATTTTTTACATCCTACTCACATTTGAAAATGAAGACCACGAGCAGCATTTTTTTAAAAATATGGGGCCCGCCGCTTTTGTGAGGGACCATTCGGTCACCCTCTTGGTACATCCGGATAAACCCCAAAAAAGTAGCTGTTGCCATGACTTAAATACCCCAATTCCGCCCTCTAAAGACAACCTCATAAGCGCATTGTTCTGTGCAAATTTACAAAACCCAACTATTGGCTAAGATAATTTGCATGTAATGTACCACTATTTAGCACTGTAATCACCGCCCCAACCCTGACTTTCATGATTGTGAACCTGACAGTGCGAAATTCAGAATTGGAAGGGCTTTTTATGACGGCGAAGAAGGCGTGGGAAGGTTTCTCCAAGGGGCTAATCGAGGAGGTGCATAAATGGGGTTCTATGAAGCAAACTGGCGTCAGCCTCCGTTACATGATGGAATTCGGGTCCAGACCCACAGCCCGAATTCTCCTCATTTCTGCCCAGTTCCTCCACAAGGAGCTCCCTATTCGGATTGCTCGCCGAGCTATTGAACTTCAGTCCCTCCCCTATGGCTTGTCCTATAAGCCCGCAGTTTTGAAGGTACTCTACCCTTGTGCTAGATATTCTTTTTATTTTTCAATTTTTTGGATCCTCAAGGGATAAGGAGAGAATTCTGGGTAGATTAGTGATTTTTTTCTGTCTAACTTGGACCTTTTAAAACTATCTTCACTTCATGATTTAGCTGTGGAGTTAAAGTATAGAATCAGACCACGTGGATAAATTGACTATTTAATGTATTTATTATTTAAAATTCATTTTATTGAATAGTTAACTCATAGTTTTTCTTGTGTTGTAGTTAATTTATTGCATTATCTACCATTTTTATTGCCTAGTTTACTCAGGGAACGATTACGCATTGTTGTTTATTGCAACTCATGATTCCATTTGCTTGGTCTCGAAATTAGCTTTCTTTTTCTAATTTTATGTTTACATTTTCCGTAAATGCTGGATAACGAGAAAGTATGATGGACTTGAAATTCTTGTTGTTTGAGTAGTGATTGTTGAGTTTGGAACACAAAATAAATTTTCTTTTATTAAAAAAGACAGTTGTACAATTTTAAATACTCACCAAATGCACTAAGTAATAGAATATTATCACCCCACTTTGCACTTATATATTTCTCTCACACCACTCTTGGACTTTACTGTCTTTCTCTCTCTCTCTCTCTCTGCTCTAAACTCTATATTTCTCTCACAGCACTTCTTTCTTTCTCTACTTCTCTCCACACTTTTTACACACATACAATACATATAGCCACCACACACAATGTGTGTGTGTGTGCATGTTAGAAGTCGGTGAAGGAGTATGGCGGTGGAGAATTAAATTATTGAACCATTCTAGTTTCTTCTCCAGTCGGCAGCTTCATGGAAAATTCTCAAATTTTAAGCAGCTTAAGAAATCATCACCAAATTTTCTGGTAAATTCTGGATCTTCCTTAAGTTGGTGATGACTTTCAATTCTTCCCTTCGACACCAACTTTTTATTTTGACTCTTTTCATTTTCATCATGCCCAGCTTTACCTCAAAATTGACTAGTTTTGAAGCGACTGATCCTTCGTTCAGCACATTCACGACTTCAAATATATCTGATTCTTTCCTCTTCATCCATGAAGACTCTTCATGAACCACGATGTTTTAGTTTGAGTAATTAATCCAATCATCTTTGCAATCCATTTATTTAGGTAGGACCACTACCAACGCTGATTCGTCCTTTAGGCTTGAATTGAATTTCTTTTTCTCGAGCCTGCTCAATTATTGTTGTGGTTGCCTCCGCATCCCATTCCTCTTCACTATTATATCTTTTGCTTGTTGAATGTTGCTACATTACCTTATGTTGGCTCCTCTTTCTTGAATCATCAGTCTCTAAATTAATGGCATTGTTGTCACATACAAAACACGAACCATTAGTTCGTTGATATTAATTTTGTCAAGCTTCCCTTTTCTGATAAGTTGCTTCAACCCATTCTTCATATTTATTTTCTTTTAATTCTTTATTATTTTGTTAACGGGATCGACCTCTTCTTAATAACGATTCATCTTCTTTCTTTAGCTCTTGTTTGATAGCCATTATTTTGAGAATATGGAGTTTTAAATAATGAGTTTTTGAGAATGTGTGGCTAAAAGTAGGGAAACTTTTTGGATTTACGTGCAAAATATTTTATTGTATAAATGTGTAGTTGAAAATGAGTACGAGAATTAAAGAGTTTTGAAATAATGGTTGTCAAATAGAGGTTTAGAGAGATCCTTAACATTTATTTGATAAATGCTTATTAGTCGGCCAACAAATTTTCTAGATTAACTAATGAAGGTTGCTCCGTCCAACCTTGTATTGCAATAATGAAAGTTCTAAATTTGGATCTCAATCCATGTATGATTATTCTTTTCATTCTAGACTCTGAGATTTTACTCGAAGAATCTAATTCAGAAATTTTGGGACAGAGAAATTTAACTTTATTGAAATATTGACTCACTATCACTTCTACTTGAATGATCAAAAGCAGCTCATTCTTCAACCTTATATCATTTTTCTTTAAAAATAGTCCGGTCAGAGTGTCCCATGCTTTATTTTGGTGTGTTCTTATATCTTATTTACTCTAGTAATTCTTTCTCAATTGCTGTCTTTATAACGGATATGGCCTTGCCCGCTTTGATTCTCCATTTCTTCAGAGACACGGCTTCCTCGGCGGCGTCACGTCACTTCTGCCAATTACCTCCCACAAGTCTTGTCCTTGGAGATACGTCTCTGTACAAATTTGCCATGTGGTATAATTTTAGTTATTAAGCTTCTTCGTTCCACTTACCACTTGTAGGTTGTCCATGGTGACTTGATTTACTTCTTCGTAATCAAATAAGTTTTATGAAAGCTTCACAATCTCCCTTTATACATGAACTCCAGAAGTTCAAAATTTAATCCCCGATTGTCTAGCTCTGATATCAAATTGTTGAATTTGGAACACAAAATAAATTTTCTTTATTACAAAAGATAGTTGTACAATTTTAAAATCACACCAAATGCACTAAGTAATATAGTATGTGTTTTAGTCCCATTTTTCTAAAAATGAGTTTTGCAATAATGAATTTTTGGGGAATTTGTGGTTAAAAATAGGAAATAATTTTAGGTTTACGTGCAAAATTTTTTATTAAAACAATGTGTGAATTGAAAATGAGTTTTTATGTAACGACCCAGCCTTTATGCACAAACTGTTATATTATACGTACCGTCCGCTTTGGGTTTTTAAGTCTCTTATTAGGCAGAGGTCTTGTGTTCGAATTTTGGGGGACGCGATATAAAGCCATGAGGGGGTAAGTGGACATGGGCCCTACTCAAAGCGGATAATATATATAATATAACGCCTTGGGTATAGAGGCCGGGTCGTTAAAAAAAATTGTCCAATTGGTACCAAAATTACAACTTAAGTTTTTCATTAGGCAGAGGTCTTGTGTTCGAATTCTAGGAGATGCGATAGAAAGCCGTGAGGGGGTAAGTGGACATGGGCCCACCCAAAGCGTACAGTACATAAGCTAACGAATTGGGTACAGAGACCCGGATCGTTAAAAAAAAAAAAATCGGCCTCTATGCCCTAACCGTCAGCTTAGAACTTATCCAATTGTACTTAACTCTCTCATTAGGCAGAGGTCTTGGATTCGAATCTTGAGGACGCGATAAAAATCCGTGTAGGTTTAAGTGGACAAATGTCCACTCAAAGCGGACAGTACATATGATATAACGGTTCGGTCATAAAGGCCGGGTCTTTACATTTTAGATGGTGGGGATCAAACAGGGAGACAATATTATCACCCCACTTTGCACTTATATATTTTTTTCACACCACTCTTGGACTTTATTGTCTCTCTCTTTCTCTGCTCTACACTCTTATCTTTCTCTCACAACACTTCTTTCTTTCTCAGCTTCTCTCCACACTTTTTAAACACACACAATACATACATCACACCCACCCACACACATATTAATGTTAGAAGTTGGTGGAGGAGAATGGCGGAGAAGGAGAATCTCTTGAATGGCGGTGGAGATTTAAATTATCAGACCATTCTAGTTTCTTCTCCAGTCGGCAGCATCATGGAAAATTCTGGAATTTTAAGTAGCTTAAGAAATCATCACCAAATTTTCTGGAAAATTCTGGACCTTCCTTAAGTCGGTGATGACTTTCAGTGATTACATAGCCCTTGTTGAAGAAGATTGTATTGTCAAATGTATAATCAATGCAGTCTCTTTTTCCTTATCTTTTCTTGCCAGGTAAGAGATTGGTATTTGGATTCTTTTCGTGACTTTAGATCCTTTCAAGATATTAAGGATAAGAGTGATGTGTTGGAATTCACACAAATGATTAAGATGATTAAAGTCAGGCACAACAATGTGGTCCCTATGATGGCTTTGGGAGTTCAACAGTTAAAGAAAGATTTGGATCCTAAAATCGATTACAAGGATTTGGATGAAATTCATCAGTTTCTTGATCGGTTTTATATGTCAAGAATTGGGATTCGCATGCTCATTGGTTAGCCCCCCACCTTTTTGTTGACCTGCTTATTTAATTGGTAGCTTCTAATGGGCACGTCTATTTTATTTATGCCAAACAACAATTTGTTTGCTTCAAATTTATTGCCAACTCAGGGCAGCACGTGGCATTGCACGATCCCAATCCTCTCCCTGATTGTATTGGTTATATACATACAAAAATGTCTCCTGTTGAGGTTGCAAGAAATGCTAGTGAGGATGCCCGTTCTATTTGTTTGCGAGAGTATGGCAGTGCACCAGATGTTAATATCTATGGGGATCCTAACTTCACGTTTCCGTAAGTTACTAATTTTATTATTATTTTCTGTTACATTTAGTTTTTTGTGTGGTATGATGCCAAATCCCAGAAACTTCATCTTTTTGCTTTTATATCAGTTACGTACCGGCACACTTGCATTTGATGGTTTTCGAGCTGGTAAAAAACTCCCTTCGTGCTGTTCAAGAGAAGTTTATGGATTCAGACGAGGTTGCACCTCCTATCCGTATAGTAGTTGCTGATGGATTGGAGGATGTTACCATTAAGGCATGTTCTTTTTCACCTCTCATTTTTTCGTCTATCGAATTGAGAATCTGTTAATTCATTTACATATATTTCGTGATGTTAAACCACTACAAGTTCACTATATTGTTGCCAACATTTTATCTAGGTCTCTGATGAAGGTGGCGGAGTACCGAGAAGTGGTCTTCCTAAAATATTCACATATCTCTACAGTACTGCAAAGAACCCCCTAGACGAGCACTCAGACATTGACCTTGGAACCGTAACAACCATGGCTGGTTATGGTTATGGACTTCCTATAAGCCGTTTATATGCAAGGTATTTTGGAGGGGATTTGCAAATTATCTCCATGGAAGGATATGGTGAGTTACTTCTCTCTATTTGCTTACCATACTACGAGTATATGCTTATTAGCATACATGACATTGTTGGTCGTAAAAGTGATCACCATTTGACACACAGCCTGCAAGTTGCACCGCAATTTTTGTATTTTGAGTGTAAAATTTCATCATTTTAGTCTGTCAGTTAGCTAGGCATCATATAGTGAGATGCTTGTAAGCCTAATTTTTGGAACGTCGGGTAGAATTTTTGATGCCTGATCGGCCCAAAGTTCACATAAATGCAAAATAATGGGTTTAACTTCCTCAATTGGTTCATATTCTTCAGCCTAAAGCTTTGCAGATGCACGTATGATTTCTTCTGTCTTATTGACTTATGGATCTGTGGTCTGTATGCTTACAGGAACAGATGCTTATCTTCATTTGTCTCGGTTGGGAGATTCTCAAGAACCTTTGCCTTGAGCATTGGTGTTGCAAATACTTTAATTTGAAGAATCTGGATCTTGATTGTAGTGAAACATATTGCAGTTCATGGTAGTCTAATTGTTTGTATAAATAGCTTTGCCATACTATACATTTTCTGGGCAAGGAAATATTTTCCAATTGTGGAATGTGATTATTTGCATTGGAATAATAAGTTCCTAGTCTTTCTGTTTCCAGCCAACAATTTTGAAGTGCAACCAAGTAGTGGTGAACTAAAGGAATGATTTTCCCAAACATGTAACTTTGATTCATCCAACCAAATAAGTGGTTTGAACAAAAGAAATTTCAATTATTTTTCCACTTCAGTTGGCACGTCTTTTGTTCAAATATAAATATCATGTTAACTGTTAATATTACAATATAAAACATTTGCCGAGGTCTCACTGCAAATCAGTCTGAAAAAAAGGTAAAAAATTGTAGGCTTGAAGCAATTTACTCCATTCTTCATGCCAGTGGTGGAGGATCTTCTGGAACTATATCATATCGATGGATCTGAATGATAACTAAGCTATCAGTGCCTTTTTTTCTTTCCAGCCATCGCATGCTTGCTTCGCTTCCTGCCACTTCTCTTCCACTTGGCCACCCCACCAGGCCTATTCACTTCTTCAATCTCTCGGACCTTGCGTTTCCTGCATAAACATAAGGACCATGGTCCATGTCAGTGATGTCACCATGGCTTCATAATTCAATGTTACTGAACAAAACAGCTAATTGTCTTATATTAGCAGCATTTAGGTAAAAAGCAATATGCATGTTTGGGAAACCAGGAAAATTTTCTTACCTATATGCACCAAGGTTACGATCAGAGAGCAGCTCGTCAGCAAGGGTTGCTTTTCTCTCCTTCTTAGTAAGTCTACCTGTGTAGAACTCTTCTGCCGACTCTATCACAGTGCCCACCTGATCAATTATCAAAGAACTCATCCATTAACCTCTTGGATGACCAGAATCAATTAAATGTAGTACTTATAGATAGCATTAGATTGCAATTCAGATGCGAAATTACCTGGAAATACTTGGGAAGTGTTTTTGATTTCGAGTCACCCTTCTTATAATGCCTTGTTGGATCTATGGCACTCCTCAGCTGTAATGGTAAAAAAGATTCACCTTTCATCAAGAAATAGTCTTCCAAATGGATTTTTTTTTTTTTGTTAATATTACAGAGTACATAAACTCCATTACTCCAGTCATTGAAGTAGTAATACTGACGTAGGATGCTATGGTATAATTATAAGAGAAGAGAATAGCGGAGAGAAGAGGAGGGAGATAGAAAGAGGGAGGTAGAAAAGAAAGAAGAATTAGATGGAGGAAAGGTGGAGAAGAAGAGAGAGTTCAGGGAGAGAGTATCAATTTTTATTCATGTCAAAGTTGTTTTAGTTACATTGCATAAGCCCCTATTATATGGAGTTTAAACTAGTCCCAACTGAAGTAGGAAAATACTATAAAAATCAAACCCTATTTATGTTTCCTAAATAAGCTTCGAAATTAAAAATTAAATTAAATAATATATCTTCTAATATTCCATCATTTCTCCCTGCTTGAAAAAATTTGACTCCGGCAAGATAAACTGCAACCTCTTAATGAAGGATGGCGATCATTCTTCTTGATTAAAAAACGGAACCAATTATGTGACAACAACTGAATCTGAATATTAGTCCCAAACATCTGATCTGACTAAGGGGGACAATCTCTCTTTTTAAGCAAATAGAGATAAAGAACCCCGATAAGCAACAATTTATGCAACTCATCCACGAACTATCACGAAATCTACGTGAGGAGCACAACACATTAGTATGGTAAACTAGGCTGTAGAAACAAATGATTGCAACACTGGTGACTTGAATGTACCCTGATAAGGCGACACTTATAGCATCTCCAAGAGACTCTTTAAACATGAGATGCTCTCTATTTTAAAGAGTCAACATTTAAAATCATGCTCCAAGAGACTCTTTAAATTAACATTTTAATTTAGAGAGTGGGTTAGGCTCTCTAAATAATTAAATGCATTCAAAATGTTTCAATAACTCTCTATAATTAAATGCATTCAAAAAGTTTTCAATTTTCAATATAAGAAAACAATAAAATAATCTAAAGAAAAACTAGTTAAAATAAAAGATAAAGAAAAATAATAAATATTTTTTGGGAATAGTAAAATCAAGTGTTAAATATAAAGGGCTTGTAGGAGTATTTCAAAATTTCAACTCTCAAAATTTATAGATGCTCTCCAAATGATAGAATATACTCTTTAAAAATAAAGAGCCTATTGGAGATGCTCTTATGCTATATTGGAAACAAAACTTTTAGCGACGGCCAATCAAATAAATTAATTTCAAGTGTGTGATTCAAAAAAATATTTCTTTACATGTTTAGGTTGCAATCCTATGGGAAATCCTCAATTGTGTCCCGGTGAATTATGTCGAAACTCTCATCCACGCTATCAGGACATTTAATAGGCTAAACAATAAAAACCCCATTATCTTCCTCAAGTATAACACAACTAGACTCAAGAGGTGATTTCGGGATTGGAGCGATAAACTACGCGCATGACAAGTTTGATGAAGACAGAAGACTGTGTACCAAAGGTTGGCCTGTTGGTAAGTATTATCTAAGGATTGGGATGCAGGAATGTTGACATGCAAGATTACAGGATTCAAACAATTAAGAAACCTAGACGCTATAACGTTGGGAGCTTCATAAATATCACAATTGTACAATAGCTCTTCGAAGTGGCAAGATATTCCCTAATAGAGAAAAAAATATCTTTTAGTATATAGTAGATATTCAGAAAACCCCAAAACTCTTTTTAAGAGTTTTTATTTAGCCCTTTGGTCCCTTAGCCGTTATTTTATTTCAATTCAATAATGTTTAAGTTGTTTACAAGTTTTAGTCTTCTCAATTGAAATGTTGAACCGATTGTTTCAATTTTCCTCTTTAAAACACCATTGTAACCATGTTTTAGTAGGCATCTGGACTGTGCAGCAGGAGAGAGTTTCATCCATCCTGGAGGAAGTCAGAAAACTCAATGTAAATGTGATCTTATTGAATACGTTTTTGGCTATGAAATCTACTATCTGTGCCTCCAACTTTTAAGGGATGATTGTTTGGTTTAATTCAAGCTGCTCTAACAGTTGGATACATTTGATTTGATGTTCTCTCTCCCAAAATTTTCTATGTTTCTATCCATTCTGGTAATTGATTACATATTTCAATTCATATTTTTAATTTTCTTTCTACAAATTAAATAAATCACAACCAGTAGGAAGTGAAAAATCCAAGCCTTGCTAGATTCCTAATGCCAGATTCATTATCGAACCTAAGTGTAGAAATTTTTCAACTCTTTGTATTTTGAACAGAAAGCTAAATGTGCAAATGTTTGTACACTGGAAATTTATCTCCTCTGAGGTTCTATTGTTGATATCTTCATTTTCCTCCTTTAAGTCCGATTGATTACCCTGGTGACTTGGTAAAGGACCAATGCTTATATTTGTGTGTAATCATCAGTAATTACCGAAAACAAAAGTAAAATCACCAATAGATATTATCATATACGGACGCTCCTAAGTGGAACAAAAGCAGAGAAAGTGAACAAGAGGGAGAGAAAAATTCTCAACAGTTTATGATAATCCAATAGTGTCTGGAAATCAAATTTCTGGTTTATATTTTAGAAAATCATAAATCTTAGACGGCCAAGAATTTGAAAACTCGATATCTTCTGTGGGCAAAAACTAATAAAAGATATCATCAAACCAATCAATCAGAAAGTTTACTTAGTTTATCTTCATTTTTGTACTGTAGTTTATTTTCTAATATTTTATGAGAAACTTGCATTGAGAATGATAAATTTCTGTCAATTTTCAACTAAAAATGGAGGATTTATATTTTTGTGAAATTAGCATTACACTAACACGGGGTCTTGGTCATTGCTTGCTCTGGCTAAATACAATTACCAGTAATGTAATACTACTTACGTACTAAAAAATACTAAAATTTGCCTGGGGTCAAATTAATTTCACATAGAAAATTGCCAGTTATAAATCGCATAAAGAAGTCTGTCTAGAGCATTATATCGCAGGACGTTCCTAAGTTCCAAATAGCATGGTCAAGAATCAACTTTAATCAATTCGCCAAGGAAATAGATAAAAGTACCTTCAACAGCTGAAGATCTTTCTTGAGCTCTGGCGTCATAACTGGCGCGGGCATATCAAACCTGTTAACAATTTAACACTAACCCACATAAAAAATCAAAATCCTTTTTCAAGAAAAAAAATTAAACAGGTGAACCTTATCACGAAAACCAACTCAAAAGGAGGCCAAAAAAGGGAAAAAGAAACATATACCAACTCTTTCCAGCAGTGTCTTTAATTTGTTTCTTTAACAATTTTTTGAGCCTTCTTGGGTCGTTCGGAGGAACAAAGAGGCCGTCAATGAGCTCCGAACTAGGTTTGTAGAGGGCACTGGTTTCAGCATTATTGGATACGGAATTCCCGGTTTTGGTAGAGCCAGTTGCAGAAGTGGATGCAGATGAAAACACGGGTAGTTTAGGTTCCCATGAAAGGCCCATCACTTCGTTTTTTTCAGGCATTTTGGAGCTGCTTTAATTAATTTATAAACGAATTTCCACTTCAATTCAAATCTGAAATTCGCCTTAAGAATTGGGATTTAGGGTTTTTGAGTTGCTTCTTGCAAGGAATAGAAAGGGAGAGAGAGAGAACAGGATTGAGAAAATTACTACAAACCCTACTTTTCAAAATTCATATTAAAAAATGAGGTGATAAGTTTAATCTTTCAAAAATCAGGTGTTTTATATATTATTAATTCAATTAATTCAGAAATC